TCAGAGAGGGAAGACTGTACAATGCTCTCACCACTGCCGGTCCTCGCTCTCAGACAGTCCCGCGTCATTTCCGGTTCCAATGTTCGTCACTTCCGGTTGCCGCTTAACCAAAATCTGACGCGTTTTGTCACTTCCAGACTTAATCATAGGGAGTCCCTATGATTAAGTCCGGAAGTGATGAGACGCGCCAGGATTGGTTAAGTGGCAACCGAAAGTGATGAACATTGGAACCGGAGGTGACGCGGGGACTGTCCAAGGGCGAGGTTTTAAATGGTACTGCACCATGTCGTGTGTGTGTCTCTCTCTCTCTGATCTCTCTCTCTCTCTCTCTCTCTCTCTCTGATCTCTCTCTCTCTCTCTCTCTCTGATCTCTCTCTCTCTCTCTCTCTCTCTCTGATCTCTCTCTCTCTCTGATCTCTCTCTCTCTCTCTCTGAGCTCTCTCTCTCTCTCTGAGCTCTCTCTCTCTGAGCTCTCTCTCTGATCTCTCTCTCTCTCTCTCTCTCTATATATATTTTTTTTTTTTGCCAACCATGAGAATGTGGAAGTTTTATCAATGGAGTGCGGTCAGCTTTCATTGCTTTCACATGTTGCCGCAGTCAAGGATTGGACCAGCACCTGCTGATGTTCAGAGGGGGCGGATGGTTCAATTGCTCACCTGGAGCGGTCCGTTTATCTTTTTTCACATTAGGACGAACAATTGTGTCTGTGCAGCTGCTGCGTCTTAAGTGATTTGAATGTGTTGTTTGCACACAGCACCTGGAGTCTAGAGACGCTGAGAAAAAATTCCGGTTAATGGTATATGAGCCTCAACGCCCATGTGAATGATGCCTTAGTCTCCATGCACGCTGGACGTTTTGATAATGCTGGTAACATTGGCTGTGTAAAGTCAGTTTTTCAGCTTTTTTTAGCGTTTTTTGTAGTAGCGTTTAGCTTCGTTTTTTTTTTAACTCCCCCCCCCCACACACACATTTTTTGGGGGGTAAAAAAACATCCAAAAATGCCGGGTTGCGGCGTTTTACAGCGTTTTGCAGCGTTAGAGCATTTTTACAGCTAAAAAAACTCCCCTAGAAGCCCACTAGTCCTGGGTTTTTTTCCAGCCAAAGAACGTCCCTGCTAAAAAACGATTCCAGTCTATGTGTGTATGGACACCTAGGATAACTTGCTGGGGGGTTTAATGGCTGTAGAAAAAAATGTCAAAAGCCAAAAACAGCCGATGTAAATACATCAAGTGTGCATGAGGACTTAGCCCTCGTTCATGCTGATGTGTTTCAGAACGCATGGAATTGCATGGCAAGTGAAATAACATGGCTTTCAGTGGAGGCCGCCAACATGTGCAGTGCGAATTCGCTTTGATGTGAAAAAGGGTCTTGTGCGTGTTAAGTGCAGTGTGGTGCAATTTTAAGGTCCATAGAGTTGTATGGAAACTGCATACAAAACACTGATCTGTCCTAATGTAGCTGCATTCATTTTCTTTTTTTTTCTTTTTCTTTTTTTTTTTTTTTTTAGACTTTTTCTTTTATTTTCACCTATTAATCCAGCCAGTTTGTCTGTTGTATTTCAAAAGAACAAGCTATCCTGCAGCTGTAGCAATTACAGGAATGAGACAAACCATTCAGTACTGACAGGGTTGCTTACAATGGTCAGCTATTATTTATGTAAAACCTTTATCCTGAAAGAAAAAAAAACTTTGCTGTGGCTGGTTATAAAGTGTGAGCTGGAGTTTGACTTCAATTTGTTAGTGTATAGAAATCTGCTAGTACGTATAACACTCCCCTCCCTCTAGGCTGACAATGCTGCTTGTCCTAAGGTGCCCCCTGTGCTCCTCCATCCAGAGTGGGGAGTTGTGTTACTGGCCAGATCACCAGGTCTAAAAGAGGGAAAAAAAGGCTAAAAAGGGAAAACTAATTCAGCCATCACATCTAATTATTGGTAAGCTGCAGTATATTACATTTTCAGCTTTGGGTGTTTAATACCGCTTTAAGTGGAGTCGATAAAATAGTAACCAGTAAGATCTGGCTTATGTTGTCATGGGAAATTGGTAAAATGAGTCTCAGTACTGACAGCAGCAGTGCCTTTAAACAACACATCTCCATGTGGAATCATTAGTATGCAGTGGCTTTTCATTCCGATCCTCTGCTGTGAGTTGTAGCTACCTACACCGCTGGCAGCGCTCCAGACGGGTAGAACGATCCGCTTTGTGTACAGCCTGCAGTGGGCGAAGAATTGTGACGGCAATATCTTTATCTAGAGATTGGTGTGAACTGCAACTATATTTAATTGAAAATTTTACAGAGCGAGTGCAAGTCTGCTATGAAGTGCAGTATCTGTATATACAGTTTCTTCACATGTACTACAGACTTTACAGCACCCGTTCCTGCATATTAAAACAAAAACAACCTGCGCCACAAGAACTATGTGAAAAATTTGAAAGTGAATGCTGCTGTGCCTTGATAAGAATCAAAAAGATTGATAAAAATCAGTGAAACAAAACCATGCAAAACATGAAATTAATCAAAAATAATTTTACACAAATCATAATAAATTCTGTGGTTATAAAATAAATGTCCAAAACCACCAAAATGAAAAAAATATATTAAATTGTGTAAATGTGCGGCCACCCAGCGTCTGGGCCTAGACACCGAACATTTGCGTTCATGTAACAAAAAACATATGTGCTGAGAGCGCGCACCCTGTGCGCTCCCAGCACACGTGCGGTACTCACGGTACTTTCTCTGTATTACATTTATCCTAAAAAATTTTTGGAGCACTATTTGCATGTTTAACCCCTTCACGCCGGATCGTCCCGGCGTGAAGAGGAGTTCCTGCGTTGGGAGGTGGGCAAGACGAGGCGGGGCTTAGTGTCGTGGCCGCCGTGACGTCACGGCCGGTCATATGATCAGGAAAGGTCCCGTTCGAAAGAGCGGACCGGGACCTTTCCGTGAGTACCACACGTGTGCTGGGAGCGTGCAGGGCAGGGCTCAGAGACAACAGGTATGATACAGTAGAGGCTCAGAGACAACAGGTATGATACAGGAAAGGTTTAGAGACAACAGGTATGATACAGGAGAGGCTCAGAGACAACAGGTATGATACAGGAGAGGCTCAGAGACAGTGGATATGATACAAGAGAGGGTCAGAGACTGCCGACATGATACAGGAGAGGGTCAGAGACTGCCGACATGATACAGGAGAGGGTCAGAGACTGCCGACATGATACAGGAGAGGGTCAGAGACTGCCGACATGATACAGGAGAGGGTCAGAGACTGCCGACATGATACAGGAGAGGGTCAGAGACTGCCGACATGATACAGGAGAGGGTCAGAGACTGCCGACATGATACAGGAGAGGCTCAGAGACAACAGGTATGATACAGGAGAGGCTCAGAGACAACAGGTATGATACAGGAGAGGCTCAGAGACAGTGGATATGATACAGGAGAGGCTCAGAAACAGCAGGTATGATACAGGAGAGGCTCAGAGACAGCGGATATGATACAGGAGAGGCTCAGAGACCGCAAGTATGATACAGGAGAGGCTCAGAAACAGCAGGTATGATACAGGAGAGGCTCAGAGACAACAGGTATGATACAGGAGAGGCTCAGAGACAGCAAGTATGATACAGGAGAGGCTCAGAGACAGCAAGTATGATACAGGAGAGGCTCAGAGACAGCAGATATGATACAGGAGAGGCTCAGAGACAGCAAGTATGATACAGGAGAGGCTCAGAAACAGCAGGTATGATACAGGAGAGGCTCAGAGACAGCAGATATGATACAGGAGAGGCTCAGAGACAGCAAGTATGATAAAGGAGAGGCTCAAAAACAGCAGGTATGATACAGGAGAGGCTCAGAGACAACAGGTATGATACAAGAGAGGGTCAGAGACTGCAGACATGATACAAGAGAGGGTCAGAGACTGCAGACATGATACAAGAGAGGGTCAGAGACGGAACATGCTATAGGAGTGGGTCATGCTTGAGGAGACAGATATAGACTAGAGACACATTACATGACACTGCTAGAAATCTTTTCAATAACAAGGCTATAAGGAAACACAGGTCAGAGTTTGCAGGGGCCCCTAGGGTCGCATACAAAGTGCCAAAGGACTGCACACGGTTCCTAAGCCACAGTTTGGGTACTATTGGTTTAAAGGCTTAGTTCACCTTTTTAGGAAAAAAAAAAAAAAGATGAATTAACACCCTACACCTGCCCCACACTCAGTCCCCACTGCATTTACCTCTGTGGATGATACAGTTTCATTGGCTACATAACGTGTTGCAATGGCTCTGCACCATTCTTCCTATTCTTTCCTTGAGATCTGGACAGATCAGATCAGTTCTGACTGATCAGCATTGGCATGATAATCAGAACCACTCTGATCTGTGAACTGCAGCGGGGACCAAGGTGGGGGGAGAAGGGAGGGTGTAGGGTGTTCAACTTTTTAATTTTTTTCTGAAATGGTGTACTAACCCTTTAAAACACATCAATGTATGTATACTTTTTTTTGTGCAGTTTTATGTGCATTGTGATGTGAATGAGCCCTAAAGGAGCACTACTGGTAGTACATTAGTCAGTGACTCTGGACAGGTGGTTGTCCTTTCCTATTCTCCAGTAGCCGCTCACACAGAGGATTTCTCATAGATCTCCATTTCATTGTGTGATACGCACTTCTGGGGGTTAAACCCTCATTACTGCCTGCTAGGGACAGCTTACAGTCACCTCCCTTAATATTGTAAGCAATGTTACAGCTAACATGGAGTGTATTCTGCACCTTCCTGCTCAGATCACACTAGTCACCCCAATACTGTACACCCCATCCGCTTTCTGATTTCTGTACCGGGGAGGCAGCAGACGTCTCCAGATTTTAGATGATACTACATCTCCCTATTGTCGTCTTTTTCCTCTGGAAGTATTCATGAGGTTAATAGAAGGCTGTCTTCCTCCGCCTACACGTTTCCTTCTATTGTTTCCAATAATAATTATTCTTTCCCTCCCCACAGATTGCGTGTTCCTCACGACTCCTCCACAGAGCTCAACCATTTTGGCTACCAATTCCTGCAGAAGACGTTCGAGAAGCATGACTTGGTGAGGACAGTGCCAGACAGGGACGGGTCATGGATTTGTTAATGTGGGAAATGAAGCACTCCTCTTTATTGTATATATCAGTGGTTCTCAACCTTCCTAATGCCGTGACCCTTTAATACAGTTCCTCATGTTGTGGTGACCCCCAACCATAAAATTATTTACCCAGTAATTATAATTCATGAGTGTCGTTTTACCTCCAATACTGCTGCTTTCAACACAGTAGCTGCTTTTAACAGAGTAGCTGCTTTCAACACAGCAGCTGCTTTCTACACAGTAGCTGCTCTTTACACATCGGAAATATGTGTTTTCTGATGGTCTTAGGGGACCCCTGTGAAAGGGTCGTTCGACCCCCAAAGGGGTCGCAACCCACAGGTTGAGAACCACTGGTATATATTGAAGCTGGACTCCAGGCCTACCTTTTTTCAGAGACTTCCCTAGGGTTGGTGTCACCCGGTGTGGTAACACGTGGTGTCACCCCTCCAGAGAGGAAGGAGCAGTGCTGGTGTAGCGGTAAAATTAGTATCCCGTGAAGCAACTGCGCATGTACCGGTTTCAGGCCGAAGAAACTGATCTCCGACTTTAGCACAGAGCGCGGCCACAGTTAACCCCCCTGTATAGGTTGAACCCATACGGGGTTAACTGATCTTGCAACCCATAGTGATCCACGGGATCAGCTTCACCGGTTTGCAGCCTGTAAGGGGTTAACTGGCACCTCTCCTAAAGTCGGCAATCGGCTTCTTTGGCCTGAAACCGGCACATGCGCAGTTGCTTCAGTGGATACATATCTTCACGGGATACTCATTTTACTGCTACACTGGGGGCAGCTGTCACTGTGCCGGGAATCCGGGATCACCCTAATAACTGGCCAGGACCTTCACAGAGCCCAGAAGCTCTGCTGACATCCTGCTTCTGCACCCCTTGTGATGGTGTCACCCAGTGCGGCCCGCACCCCCCTAGGGATGCCACTGCCTTTTTTTCCCCATGCTTTTGGCAAGTCTTCTCCTGTGTTAAAATTGATTGTTCTGAAATCCCTTCAAACTTGCATCTCCATAATATAACCCTTTGAAGCTGCAGTATCTCCTGTTCATTTTGTACCAGTATGACTTTAATCATCAATCCCCTCTCTTCCATATCTGTTTTGTCTTTGCCTCATCTGTACTGTCCAAGATATAAGTTTTCTCTGCCATTAATCATTAATTGCAGAGCATGATTTGAAAGAACACACCCCTGCATCTTTTTAGATGTGCATGCTCAAGCAACTGATCAGCCGATTGCATGGCTTAAAGGCATTGCACTAAACAGGAACCTAGTTATTCAATAAAGGGACAGAACTACTTGTTCCAGGTCACAATTCATGCCTCACTATTTACTGTGCATCACTAATGTGGCAGCACTGATATGATAAAGACTGCATGGTGGCTCTGTTATTTGCTCTGCTTGCTTGGTCTGTTTCAATTCTAATTACTATGCAGCTTTCACCTGAAACACACTAGATTCTGACACCCAGGGTTTGTGGAATATGTAATTTCTTCACAGGAAGTGTCAGTTCTTAAGCATGCCATACATTAAAACATTTTCTTTCTTGCAGTCACAGGTTGCAGGAAAGAAAATTGTTCAGTTCCCCCTTCAATACATTCTGTGCTGATGGGGGAATCACTCCCACGGAGCTTTTGTATTCTGACAGTGGAAGGTATCACAGCCGTCAGAATATAATGATCACCGCTGGCTGCTACAAAACATCAAATTACACCATGACACTACATGATCGATGCTCATCCTTTACAGATGAAAAAACACATGGTGCAGATAGGAAGGTTTATGATGCCTTTAAAGCCTGCAGCATCCAGTTGTCAGCAGGGTGGAGCATGAAAATCTAAAGGGATGCCAGGAATGTGTTCTTTTATATAACACTCTTTGAAGCAGATCCAGAACAAGGTGTTATAACCTTTACAAGAGTCTACTGGCCCCTCCCAACAAAATTAGAGCAAAGGCCAACAGACAGACCCAGTTATGACCTCACTGGGATTCAAAAAAAGGTACTTCTTCAAAACAAAAGAATTTGATTGAAAAATTGTAATCGTATGCTGATTGAGGAAGGTGTGAACAAGAAAAGCTATAATATGTGTACATTACACTTTGGCTTCAATATAGGAAGGAGGGAGTAGTAGTGTTATTATTGTAGGGAGGGGGAGGAAAAGTGGCTCTAAAGCTAAATGTGGGCAGCACAGTGGCTAAATGGTTAGCACTTCCACCTGGCAGTACCAGGGTTGTTGGTTCGAATCCCAGCCACAGCACCTCCTGCCTGGAGTTTGCATGTTCTCCCTGTGCCTGCGTGGGTTTCCTCTGGGTACTCCGGTTTCCTCCCACACTCCAAAGACATGCTGGTAGGTAAATTGACTCCTGTCTAAATTGTCCCTAGTATGTGTATGTATGAATGTGAGTTAGGGACCTTAGATTGTACTCCCCTTGAGGGTTAGGGACCTTAGATTGTACACCCCTTGAGGGTTGGGGACTGATGTGAATGTACAATATATATGTAAAGCGCTGTGTAAATTGACGGCGCTATATAAATACCTGAAATAAATTAATGTCTTTTACTAATGCACTCCTTACATCAATGTAAAAACATTTTACATTTACTGTGCCCCCCCCCCTCTCCACACGCCGCTTGCTATGGGGGCAGACACAGAAGAGGAGGTGCTAAGATCGCTGGCGGGGGACCCCAGGAGAGGCACTTCAGGGCCGGCCGCTCTGTGCAGAGCCATTGCGCAGTGTAGGTGAGTATAACATGTTTCTTACTTTTAATTTTTTAAAAATTGCCTTTAGATTCACTTTAATGTAGGAAGGGAGGAATATGGTGGGGCGTGGCTTTGTACAATACTCGTTGTGGGAGTAACAAGAAATGAAAAGGCGTAAAGAGTAATGGAGGAAGGTTCGCCAACACAACTGTAGATGACTGTCATTGCCCATGACAGAACGTAATTCTCTTTCTTTTCCACAGGATGGCGATGGTGCTTTAAGTCCTTCCGAGCTGCAAAGTTTTTTCAGTGTTTTCCCCTACACCCCCTGGGGCCCCGAGCTGCAGAGCACGGTGTGTGTGTGGCAGAGAACGGCTTGCTGCCTCTGCATGGATACCTGTGCCAGTGGACGTGAGTTAAACAACCATCTCATTATCTATTATGTGCTTCTATTAGTCTCATGCAGTGACAGTCATCTGTGTGCTGCCGTTCCTTCACCTAGGCTCGCAATACCTAGGATTAGACTTTCTACATCAAAACAACCTAAAATCCAGTTGGATGGCCTTTATATTATATTGCCTGGTTGCAGGGGCATCTCTAGGGTTGCTGTCACCTGGTGCGGTAACACTTGGTGACACCCCCTCCGACGATCCCTGCAGGATGGATCGGATCTGCAGATTGAGCATAATGTATCAGACTCCGATCCATTATGCTCCCCAATCCGATCCATCCTGCGTGGATCGTTGGCTTGCTTTACAACCTATCTTTTCGTGGAGCGGGTCCGGTGTCACCCCGTGCGGTCAGTGTCACCCAGTGCAGCACGCATCCCCCGCACCTGCCTCGGGACGCCACTGCCTGGTTGTAATAAGTTATTGGGTGAATTGACTGGTGAAACCATTTTTATGTACAGCAATAGAGCTGCATTCCCAATACTTTCTTGTCGTACTGCATGGCCTGACCTTTTTTTTTAGGTGGGTGTTGGTTTACACTCAGCCTTAAAATCTTTTAGTAGCATTTAGTGTGCAGGTGCCGTGTTTTATGTGGTTCAGAGCAATTCTTTGTTAAATCCTCCCTCCAACCTTCCCTTCAGGCTTGCACAGTTGTATCGGCTCCTCTCCTGGACTGAAACAGCCTCGTCTGATTTCACTGCACACTGTGAGCTGCTCACAATGTGCATTAGAAGCTGCAGCAAGTCAGGTAGAGTCTGCCTCTTTCCTGGCTGGAGGACGTCCAGCGTCATGTAGCGATTTCCGCCTCAGCCTGACTGTGCCTGACCCCCACTCCTTTTATTCATTGGGCTTCAGTTCTTTTAATCATGGCGGTGCAGCATTACATATGGTTGTAATCTAGGGTGGTCTACATGCAAATGTAATTTGTTTAGGAACACCCACTCCTACAGACTGACATGTTTTCCATGTATAGTGGCTAGAGGTGGCCATAGCATGAGATAACTGTTGTCTGCTCTGCTCATGGTAAATCCAGGGCCATGGATAAGGGGGTACCACCAGTCCTCATGTATGGGACCTATGCCAGCAGGGGGGGCCCAGGCAGCTGGGTGAATTTTGATATTTGCAGAATTCCCTCCAAGAGCCATCCCACTGCATGCATCAGTGCTGAGAGCTCTTGATTATGGCTGGTCAGAAGACCAGCAGGGTGCTTCCTGAAAACATCACAGCAGCCTGCTGGCCCCCTGAATGACCAGCCATGATCTGCCTGCATTGCAAAGAGAAGCACAGTGACCCACTGATGAGATCATTGGATCTAAAATAAAGTATGTAATGAAAACCCGCCTTCCTGCCCTGGGAATGGGAAGGATTGGTGCTCTTGTGACCTCTGTAATTGGTGGTTATAGCGATCACATGATCAAGAGCCTGTCCCAATGGCTACCGAACGTTAATCCAGATCAAGAGCTCTGTCTTTGTGCTGGGAGTACGCAGTGAGTGCACTCTCAGTACAGAAACATTGGCCACCCCATTAGCCCACCCTTTTTTGCCACTGCACATATGCAATACGTGGGGCAGCAAGAGGTTAATTACAGATATACAACAAATTGTAGACTTTTTTTGTAATAGTTTTACAATCTGCTTTTTTTTCTGTTTTGCTGGCAGGCTTGTGGCTTACCTGGATGTACACGGTGCCTGGAACACCTGGGGTATTTAGGGTACCCCATTTTGTGTGAACAGGACAGCCAAACTCACGCTGTCACAGGTAATGGTCTGTTTACAGAACACACTCCCCAGAAGGACCCCATTTGAAAGTTGACTTTAAAATCCCAATAAACACAAAGAAATCAGGCAGGTACATTTACAGTTAGGCAAGGCACACCCCATTAATGGTGTGGAATGGTTAGTGGGTGTGTTATCATCGGTCTGCGTCATTGTGGGTGTCATCGTTGGTCGCTGGACTGTGCAAATGCAGTCCGTCCCAGGGCTGCCTACTTCTATAGCTGGAAGCCACTCAACCACCCATCACAGTGAATATAATTTTTTTTTTTTGCATATATGCCACAAGAGCCAGCCCGCTGATCCAGAGTGTGCTTAGGGGGGCTGTAACATTTAATGTGATTTTTTTTTCTGACCCCTCTTCCAACAGCTTACTGAAAGCCAAGATTAGCAGAGAGACCAAAAAGGATATATCTGGGTCTACAAACAGGTATACTTTTAACCACCTCCCACCCGCCATATAGTAATATGACGGACGCAAGATGGTTCTCTCGTTCTGGGAGGACGTCATATGATGTCCTCACATTCTCACTGCGCATGTGCGGCTCAGGGAGCGCGCGGCGATCAGCCGGTGCGCTGTGTCCCTCGAACACAGTGGATCACCGATCACGGAAAGAGCCAAAGATGTCGGCTCGGGCATGTGATCAGCTGTGTCAATCAATATCTGATCACATGTAAACAGGGAAATGCTGGTTATCGGCATTTCTCTCCTCTCGAGCTGTCACGCTGACAGAGGAGAGGAGAGCCGGTAATTCGGCTTTCCTCGAGGGGACATCTACACTGATCATCAGGGCACTGTTGATTCAGTGTGCCCTGATGATCAGTGTAGCCCCCAATGCAACAGCACCTGTCAGTGTCCATCAGTGCCAGTGCCCTTGTCAGTGCTCATCCATGCACCTGCCAGTGCCCTTGTCAGTGCTCATCAATGCCCTCATGCCAGTGCCCATCAGTGCCACATCAATGCCACATATCAGAGCCTACCAGTGCACATCAATGCCACATGTCAGTGCCCATCTGAGCTGCCTTTCAGTGTCACCCATCAGTGCCGCCTATCAGTGCTGGCTATCAGTGCCATGTATCAGTGCTGCCTTTCAGTGCCCATCAGTGATGCCTGTCAATGCCCATCAGTGCCACCTACCAGTGCCTCCTCATCAGTGCCCATCAGTGCAGACCTATCAGTGCCCCATCACTGCAGCCTCATTAACGCATATCAGTGATGGAGAAAAAGATCACTTATTTGCAAAATTTTATAACAAAAACTAAGAAAAAACGTTTTGTTTTGTGTTTTTCAACATTTTCAGTATGGTTTTTGGTTTGTTTAAGAAAAAAATAAAAAATGCAGAGGTGATTACATACCACCAAAATAAAGCTCCTATCTGTCACAAAAAAAAATGATAAACATTTCATATGGGTACAGTGTTTGCATGACTGCACACTAATTTTCATTCAAAGTGCAACAGCGCTGAAAAGCTGGAAATTGGCCTGGGCCGAAAGGGGGTATAAGTGCCCTGTAGGCGAGGGGTTTAAAAGGGAAATGTTTCATTCAAACATTTTTTAAGACTTTTTGATTATGGAGGTGAAAGGGGAGCAAGGAATATATTTTTTTTAATACATTAAACATCAGCTTTACACTAAAGAACCATTTTCGCTCAGAGTTTCCCTTTAGGTGTTGACATTATCTCCGTGTTCTAACAGATGTGAGTCTTGTATCAGCTGAGGATAAGTGAATCAGACTCCCAGCATTCCTCACTTTCTTATCCAGGATATTAAGGATTAATCACAATCAGGATGCAGTGATAGACTCACAAGCTGCTCCTTGTAGCAACGGTGCAATTCCTTGGTTGGATAGTTTTATATCCTGGCACCAATGAGCTCTCTAAGAACATTAACTGTCATTCATCATCGATCGTACATGATACAGACTTGTTTGTGTTGGGATTTCTGTAGCTGAGGACTCCCTCTTGTCTTTGCAGTCAGTCTTACTTTTTTTTGTGGATGACACCGACAACCACAGTGGCAAGACCTGTAATCTACGTACACAAGACAAGACAACCATTTACTTCATTTAGAACTGAAATGAACAAGAGCTGCTCATCCTCTAAGGGCTCATGTACACTGCAGCTGATAAAGTCACGTTTAGGAGCTGTTCAGCATTTTTTCAGCAGCACCTCAAACCTCTCCCACCCTTGGAAACAAAAGATATGTTAATGACCATTCACACCTCAAATTCCTCATGAAGACCCCCTGCCTGGTGGCCTTAATGACTCCCTCCACTAGACACCTTTCCCACCCTTGGAAACAAAAGAAATGTTAATGAGCAACTCACACCTAAGCTATTCTTAGCACATACTGCTGTCTCTGTTTCTACTCTGTATTTCTCTGAAACAGTCTGAAATAGTTAATAATTTACCACTTTTCAGTGCATTCTGGGCATTTGGGAGGTTCTCCTGTGCTTATCTTTAAAAAAACGCTTCTAAACGCAAACGCGCATAAATGCAGTATGCAAACGAGGCTAAACTGCCGTTTTTTAACCTACATTTTCCAGCAGTCAGTTTCCATCGTTCAGAAGTGTCCCGTGTACATGGGACCTAACTGTTCTTTTGCAGTGCTGTATCTACTACTGCATGACAGGCCCCCTTAGATGTGTGCATCAGTAGCTGGAAGTGCCAATTCACAATCCAAATATCAAATATGCTATACCACCAAATGTTTGTGAACACCTGACCATCATACCTACCTATATGGACAAAGTATGTTAATACCCCTCTAATTGATTTCAGTTGTCTCCAGTGGGAAAAAAAAAACTTTTCTTGCTACAGCATACAATTGCATTCTCCCAACCTTGTGGTAATGTCCTGTTCACAAAGCCAGCCCCATGCAGACACGGGTTGATGAGTTTGGTGTGGAGGAACATGCGTGTCCAACACAGAGCCATGACCTCAACCCTACCAAACACAATTGCAAGCCAGGTTTTCTCATCCATCTTCAGAACCTGACCTTCACAAATGCCAAATGATCATAGAAGGTTTTTTTTTATCTGAATGCAGAGGATGCATTGAGATTAAAAACCTTATGCTTTTATAAGCACTTTAATGATGATGCTTTTGTAATGAGATGTCCAACAAGCCCATATAGGCATGATAGGTGTCCACAAACTTTAGACTACATTTTGTATACATGAAGAATTATCTACTGTAGGTAGGAGATCGTAGCCGCTGAAATACATTAGCTACTGTCTCTTAAAAAAAAAAAAAAACCTACCTCAATTGTGTTTCACATATACGTCCCATTTGGTACTTTAAACTATACTGCCACCCCCTAGGAGCCAAACCTCAAGGAAATGTCCTCCAGGAACCAAACCTCAAGGAAATGTCCCCCAGGAACCAAACCTCAAGGAAATGTCCTCCAGGAAC